AGAAACTCTGATCTTTATGGCTGATTGATTGTTTAATGTTTGATCTCCTCCAGCCAGAGGAAAGCAGCAGCAGCAGCAACAACAGTAGCAACAGTAAGAACGATGCCAGTCGCTCCAGCGGTGGCAGTGGTGGAGGTGGAGAAGGTTTAATGCAGGAGATGAACGCCCTTTTAGCAAGGAGGTCTGACTTAATCCATGTCCTGTTTTCATACTATGTGTTCTGGCTGCATGATATGCTGTTTCAACATTGACATTGTGATGTGTGCATCTGCAATAGTAGCATCAAGTTATGTGCTATGTTAAGTTGGGATTAAAATTGGCCACAGTGCAGAACACATAGGAGTTGTAGAGTCGCTACGGAGTCTAATCATGATAGAGTCAAATAATAATAAATAATGAAATCAAATTATAATATATTTTGCATGTGTTTATTAAAGGGGTGGTCACTTTTTGTGTAATTTTAAAGCTTGGTTGTGTTTTTAAGATGCAAAGTCATGTGTTTTCATGCTACATTTGTAAAAAACTACATTATTTTTTCATATATCTTACTTTATTTTATTCAACTTCTCGGCTAACATCAAAACTACATATTTCCTAGTTCCTCTGAAAGTTGTTTACACTAGAAACTATGCAAGTAATAGATCAATTTTAACAAATAAAAATACTTCCAGGTTGTGGCTCATAATCCACAGCTTCATCTATTATGGTTGAAGCTGCTCCTCTGAGGAGTTTCAGTACTGAACTGGGAGAGGTTCTGGAAGCTGTCCTTTGTCAAATGCTAGCTATATATTTTTATAATTCTCTGGAACATAATTAAAATTAAATTGTAAGCACTTCTCTCTGTGTGTCATGTCCTTTGGAAGCCCAAATACAGAAACCGAAGAAGATCTGTGGAAATAGCAGCGTTTAGATGGCATTTTAGCTTTCTCTGCTACATTACAGCACCTCTGGCCACTCCCCTTTGCTGCACAGGGTGTAAGCTTGTGGTGAATACGTGTAACCTGAAGCGTTTGTGATTTCACTAACCCGGATGTAGTCCCCAAACTTTGTTCGCTGTAGGCTTTGCTAAGCTAACTCTGTAAAAGCTAGTGTCTCCCTTTGCATTACATTTAGAGATGTTGTGTATGTTCATACAGATACATTACACATCAACTAAAGTTTAAAATATGATATCGTAGTGGACCACCCCTTTAATGCATGTGAGCATTTTAAGAGTTTCTAAAACACAATAAATGTAACAGTTTAATTCTAATAAAGATTCATTTTATAGAGTAATTTATACAATGAAGATTATACCGTTTTATTTTACAGTTCCCACTCCCCAAAAAACCATAAAGCACACTGTTTGTTTCACTTGATCATTTTTGTTTATCTTATCTTCTTTTACCTGTGCTTTTGTTTATGGAATTTAATACAGATGCACTCCTTACTAATCCCAATGAGTTTAAACATATGAATTCTTGTCAAATTAGGCTATTCAAATTGTCTGGTGAAATTGTATTCATCTTAATATATTTTGCAGAAAAACTTAATTTTCGCAATGGGAGATTTCCCTGCAGCCCTGCTATCTGTGATCTGTATCATTTGATCTGTGGTTTGTGGTTATACAAAAGTTTGATTGTTTACTATGGTTGTTCTGTAGGAGGAAGGCCTCAGAGAAACCAGAAGACAGTCAAAATGTAGGACTTTTGTATATTATTTGTCTAAAAAAACACACAAGTTTTTTATGTTTGTTGTGTGTTATATCACATCTTATTAGTGTTGTACTGTATATCTCACTTGCAGGAAGAGTCTAATGGATCCCCTTCTTCCTCCCGTGGACAAAACTCAGGTGTTTGTTTCTTTCTTTTTTACTACATTAAATGTATAGTACTGTTTCTAAAATTTTAAAAATAAGTATCTTCACTAATGCTTTAAAAAATAGTGAAACAATAATATTATATCTTATTTTTCAAAGTTTGCATTTTCAGTCTGCCCAAAACATGTTTGTTGAACATATTAATGCATGATATTCATTGTTGTTGTTGTTGTTGTTGTTGTTGTTGTTGTTATTAACAATGCTGCATAATTATTTTACAAACTACTGCAAACTTATTATTCAAAATATACATTACAAAATTAAAATACTATAAATTAGTAAAACTAAAAAAGTTTTTAAGGTAAATTCCAAGTTGTATTCAATGTCGTAGAGCAGATGCATCATCCTTTATGTAAATATTGATTCTCAGATCCAGTAAAAAAGCCATGGGAACGGGCGAACTCTGCAGACAAGTCTTCAGCTGTGTCAAGGTATGTTTTCACAGATTTATGCTTCAGTAAACATCACATTCTTGACCCTGTTCAGTGAGTTCTTTGTGTTCTGGCTTTTGATGTTTCTTTTTATAATACTGCCATTTGTTAAAGCATTCCTTGATGGATCGCAGTGAAATAACAGATTTAATCCAGCCTAGGTTTTCTCTAAATGTCTTGGTTGGCTGTACAAATGGTCATGTTAAGGCCATAGTAAAACTCATGCAACATGAGCCTGCAATGACCTAAATCCAAACAAAGCCGGTTTTGCTTGCTCTCAGACGACTAGAAAAGTATAGGTGTTATGTTTAGGGTAAACACAGAGAAAATAACTCTGAAAATGAGCCTATACGAGGCTACATTTATGACAACAATGTACTAATATCAGAAAACATTTCCTCTGCGGCTCTGCTCTACAAGTAAAAACGCTGTTAAAATCTGTTCACGCAGATTTGACAAAATGACTAAAATTGCTATAACATGTTTGTCAGGCCAGTAGTTGGTGTCTAAAGAAACACAATAAGGATTCGCACATACAAGGCCTCATTGATGCTGTGCAAAAACTATTCTGAGTTTGTTGTATGATCTTTTCACAAAAATGTTTGTGTGAAGAAAACGAATGAGTATGTATTTCTCTACCAGATGTGACATTTATGAAATTGTGTGCAGCGGACTCTTGTCAGATCTCTTCTTCATAAATGCTCCCTAAATAATAACATACAAAAATAAATACAATAACATTTTTTACAAAATTCTTATAAAAACTTTTTTAAAAAACACATTCTAAATAGAAAAAACTGGATGTTTCATATCATTAAAAAAAATATGATGAACCCTTTTCACATTTCAGGGTTTCTTAGCAGCAGAAGTCGCCATAGTTGGGTAAACTTGCGGTGCAGTCAATGGGAGAGTGCAATACATTTTTTTACAGTCCCATTTGTTGAAATAATAAAAGAAAAATGTCATGATGGTGTTATCAAGACTTTCAGAAAAACTTTAAGCCCCATAGACGCTGCATTAGAAACACCGTGCATAAGCGGTAATTTTTTTTTTAAATGTGTAATTAGACACAAATATGATATAATGCATGCATAAATGCATATATTGATGCAGTTTTTTTAATCTAAATATTATACACTTTCAAGGATTTAAGATTATAATGACCGTTAAACACGTCAAGTCTTGTGAAAAGTTTACTAATGCTGCTCAAATGTGCCATTATTATACTGACACAAAATTTATATTTTATATAAATATGACTGATGTTAATGACAAAAACTTTTCAAGTTAAAGGCTGATGTCTCTATTCACAGAAGTAGCAGATTTGTTTTGATTTTGGATACTTTTTTGTTATTCATTTTTTATTGTGAATTTTGCGCATTAGCAATTTGTTTCAGAAACGTTTTCACAATTAAGCTTTTTAAGCCCCCAAAACACCACAGTCATTAAAATTGGCATTAAAAACTATAATGCATGAAACCTTTTTAATGTCATTTGAACAGTTTCTGAGATTACATCAGTAAACATCAAAAAGTTAATAGTTACTTTATCTAGAAGTTTAAGCTTGACTTGCAGGTAAATATTTGATCATTCGCGTGAAGTTTCACAAACTAATTTTGAGAGGAGCACTTGATCTGATTGATCGTGGCTGGCCTCTCATCTGTAATCATTAGTTTGCCAATCGGATTATTCCAAACTCACTTTAAATAGCCCGTCTAGCATTACTCCCTTATCATTTTTTAAGAATCCACCCCATCTCCAGGGAGAGCTCTCGAGAACTAACTCATATCCCCGTACATGTTCATTGACCAGACGTCTCAGAGCTCAGGGTTTTCTCTCCCTTGACAGCATGCAAAACTCTCTATTATTAATAAGCAATATCGAAGTGTGAACTCTTGACGCTTAAATATTTTTGATGAACACTGTACAGGGCAAAACCACTCGGAAGCACCAGTGACGCAGAGTCATTCGACTTTGACAGAATGAAACAGGTTGGTTGAGAATATCATGCTTTACTACTGTACTGTGTATTGCGCTGGAAAAAAATGAGAACGGACTGGTTGGCTAACAGTGATAAAATCTGTTGCGTTCACAAGGAGATCTTGGAGGAGGTCGTTCGTGAATTGCAGAAAGTAAAAGAGGAAATAATTGATGGTAGGTTTTGAGGAATCCAGGATTATTTAAAAAAAAGTTTTTCATATCTTGCAAATGTTAACAATGTTATCTTTTTTTTTTTAGCCATTAGAAGGGAACTGCTGAGAATTGGCTCCACATAGTTTTATGAAATGTCAACGACGACGACTGATAATGGCTGAAGGTTCGGGGAAGTACAAGAAAGCGCACGTGAAACAATTCTGACAACATGTCTGCAACGGGACGGAGACCTCAGTTGCAGAAATGTTGCACAGACACAAGGCATTACCAAGAAGGACAAAAGAAAAGCGGAGGAAAGTGAGTGACTGTGTATGAATGAACGAGCAGATGGAAATATAGACCTTCTCACTGAATTTTCTATTTCCTCCAGTATGAACGTTGAGACAGTCCACTGTGCAGCTTGCTGCTCTCGCTCTTTCAAGTCTTTAAAGTCAACAAGTTGGAAATTAATGAAGATATTTTTGTTTTCTAAGTTTATATTGTTTCTTTGGTCATTGTTATTATTGTATTATATTAAATAAGAGAGATACAAAGTTGCACGACAGTTATTGTCAGCCTTTTATATTTTATATTACCCCTCTTATCCTTTGGTTTTAAGTACAAGCTGGACACGTTTGTGCTGAACGACCAGCAACTTTTTCTTTTCCTTTTTGCTGAAGTTCACTTGAATTGTGTTTTACATTGGTATGAATAAATAAGGTTATAAATACTCTTTCGATGAGTTTAAGAGATGGACATGGAAATATTGAAGTATATACACACACGAAAATGTGAGCAATTATTGGAAGTGGCATAAAGTATTGAATGAATTGTTTGAACGTACAATGTATCTTGGTTTAATTGGGTTGATCCTGATTTTAAGTTGATGTTAATGTTTCACAGAAATGAGAATTAAACACGTGGTAAGAGTGTGAGATTGATGTAATTAAAAGTTTAAAAGCTTTTCCCCCTTTTATAAAGTCTCGTTTCGTTCAATTTTTTTTTTAAATATGAATAATAATACTCATATTTTCATTAGATATTAAAACAGACAGTTCTGCTCCCCTGTGAAATCTGCTGTCTTTCAGAGTAAGGCTGTAAGAAAGAGATTTATTGAAATAGTTAAGCTAAACAAACATATTCTACAACAACATCACAATAATGTTCAGTGTTAAACTGTCACAGTGCAAACGACAGAACGTAAAGTATGAACTTTGTCACAAAAGCGCACAAAATTGAATATTCTGTTTTCAAAAAAGCCTCACTGATATAAAGGCATTTTTTAAAGTCCGCCATTCCATCTCGGCTCTTCTTTTCTTGAGACGCAGTAATTGAGAGAACAGAGTGGTGATAAATGACAATACAAACAAAAACTGCAATGGCCTGGTACATATATTTGATAAGATGCACATCAAGTTTCACGTTTTAGGAATGAATGAGTGTATGCACATATTTTGAGAAGTGCTTTAATACACCCAAATAGTAGATCATGTACTGTAACACGATAGTGTGAAATTATTCTTTGGATATTGTAAGGATGTTGCGATGCAATGAAATGCAGCGACTGTGAATGGATTAGAATAAGTCCCAAATAAGAGCCTGCAAATAGCAATTATGTCTCATTTGCAGATTTGTGTAATATATTGTGTATATACCCAGTAGCATGTTTGGTTAGATTAGTAGTCTTACACCTAGTTTATTCCTTTTTGCCAAGTGTGTATTGTCTCTTAATTCGGGCGTAGGGGCCAATGGAGTCATCAAATACAAAGTCCCACAGAACTCGCATCCAGGACGTGTGTTGAGGGAGTGAGTCATAGTACTCTGCAGCAATCCTCTTTACCTGGACAAAAAGAAAAATCCAGAAATAAACAAATACTTCTTGGGAAATGTCTAGGAATGAAATGCATTATGCAAACTATAAAGTCTTAAGAATGAAGAACAATAAAGCAGCTGAGGTGTAAAGTGAGGGTGGAGCGGTGGTCAGGTTCCTGACTGTCGTCATATCTTATTTCAAGGTTTAAACATTAACAGAAACAAATGTACTGTATGGGTAATCAGTTTAAAGATAGGACATGATTCTTTTATGCTGAAGTTATGAGTTCTAAAATCTCTTAACACAGTTAAAATGGACAAAGTAGTAATTTGAGGGGAAAATTAAGCAAATATTTGAATTCATTGTTAGTTTCATGGAACTAAATGTCAAATTCTTTCTCTTAATCAGTAACTGCCAGAATCAATGCAGGGCATTACCATGACATTTCCACTTCAGCTGTAGACTGAAAAGTAAACTTCCTGAGGTGTATTAAAAATAGGGTTTCTTCTTGGTAATGGCACTTTATTGACAGTATAGACCACCTTTGCATTTACACTAAAACAAAGTAGTAAAAGCGAAAGGGATTTTGTGTTGAGGGTTTTTTTATTTAGTTTGCAAACAGACACTAGTGTTCTGAAAATTATTCTCATTCACATGGGCTTGTTAATATGATTAAACCACATGCATTGTAGACCAGTAGGTGGCAATCACTTTCTAATGTAACCTTTCAAGTAATTCTCAGCTTACATTACGAAGACTTGGAAATCATTATAAAAATCCTGTAAAACCTACAATTTTTCTCATTTAAAGAAGTGAAAAATGTTGTTTTTAGGCTCATAAAAAGCAGGCACTGTGTGTGTAGTTGATAAAGGGTGCTGTGTTAATGGCTCTCAGAGAAAATGAAAGGTCAATAGGGATGTGCAATGTACCATATTTGGTTGTACTTTATTGGTTAGACTTGGAAATTAATTTAGCTGTCATTTCTCAATTGCATTAAGATTGCCTTTGCTTTATCCAACAAACTAAATTTATTGTGCATAATATAAAAGGTCAATGCGAGTTTCTTTGTATTCCGTTTGGGAAGAAAATATGGACGTTATATTTTTTTAAATATTGTATAATCATAAATAATATTTGCCATTAAAGGGAAAGTTCACCAAAAAGTTTCTCACTATTTACTCTAAGTGGTTCCAAACATTTGAGTTTCTTAATTCATATTAGAAGAAAGCTGAAAACCAATAACCATTGACATCCAAAGTAGGAAAAACAAACACTATGAAAGACAATACAAGTTAAGAATTTTTCAAAATATCGTCTGTGTTTTACAGAATAAAGAAACTTAAATGGTTGGAACAAGTGCATGGTGAGTAAAGGATGATACAATTTCAGTTATTGGTGAACTATACCTTTATTATTTACAACTTCTTACCATGCATCCATAAAAATATTGATATAAAGCCCAAATCGTACCTCAGGTAATTTGCTTCCAGGAATGCTGGGAAAGTCGTGATGCTCCATATGGTATCCCACATTGAAGGTTATCAAGTTGAGTGGGCCGTAATAAGAGTACGTTTCATGACCTTTCGTAAACATGTAGTGCTCAGCAATGAAGTGTCCAGAGATTGGATGCAGGCCCATGCACAGTATAGAGCCAGAGATGAGATAGACTATGGGCTTCAGACCCCAAAAATAGTAGATGATGATGTCTACCACAAACTGTACAGCTGCATTCAGCATCTCCAACCTGGTCACGGGCTTTGGGTTGACGATCAGTGGCCGGAGCGCATAGAACAAAGGCTGGAGGAACAGCCAGAGCACCTTCCTGGCCGGAGTGCAGAAGAACCAGCCCTCGAGGTCAGTAGGAATATCCACATCCAAGCCATCTCCACCCAGATAGCGATGGTGGTCGATGTGGTACTTCTTGAAGGATGCGGAATATGGCAGGCCAATGGGGAGATTGGCAAACATGGCAAACCAGCGGTTCCAGCGTGCCCTCTTTGTGCCGAAGGCCACATTGTGAGAAATGTCATGGATGGCTAAGGTCAAAGAGTGGTTGATGCAACCACCAAACGCATATGCCCAAAACAACACCCACTTCCAGGAGAGCTCATGGACCATGTAGCACGCCAGGAGCTGAGTGAGTACCATTCCTGACACCACCCATTTCAGCTGTGGGTCATGACCCATCAAAGACTTGATTTCAGGATACTTAGCTGGAGAGAGAGATAACAAAATGTTTAGAATTCAAAAAAATACTTTGAATAGGAGAAAAATAATATTTTACTTTTATACATGTATACACAGTGTTCAGCATAAATGAGTACACGTCACACAACTCTTTTAGATTAATATTTTCTATAGGATGCTTTATTTAATTATAACTTTTTTTTGCAATAACGAATTTGAGAGTATACTTAAAGGATTAATAGAGATTATTACAGTTGCTAGTGGTAACCAAACATGTTAAGGCGCAGTGTTGCATAGGTAGTTAGGTAATTACTAATCCTCCCCACATGGGAGAGACCTTCCCTTAGCAGAGTGCGTTTTTTTAATTAGCAGATTTGTTTGCCCAGCTAACCCTCTGTTTACCCATCATCCTCTGCTATAGAATCTCTTCATAGAGGCTCCACAAAGAGACTCACTGACCACTTTCACCTGTAAAATTACATGTGACCCAGATGCAAATCTACCATAACACTTTTTCATGCAATTTGAATAATGTCTGTTTGCAAAGTGTTTACATTGCTATTTTTTTTTACTAATTTGTATTAGCAAGTGAATCATTCTTTGATTATGGCATTAGCCAGGAAGGAAAATTATTATTATCATTAAACACAGAAATGTGCCTGGTTTTTCTTCCAGATGTCGAATTATCCATGTATTTGTTTCCCCCTTTAAATTTTTACATATTGGTCAAACAAATGGCCCATACAAAACAAGCACAGCTGTGGCCATCAACAGCACCAGGCTTTAAAGTTTGATAATGTTCATGTACAAATGCATGTGGAGATACTTGGATGCCCCGTTTGCTGCTCCTTGAGTATCTGCTGAGCAAGATCACACCCGTCATTGCCTATTGTCGCGGAAACGCTCAAACAGGTTTATTAAGAACAACCCCTGTTGCAGCTCCTGGGAGTCATATTTGAGCCTGAGGTAATACAGTGTGTACGCACCGCTTTTAAACACTGGGCAAGTTCACCTGTGTAATGAATAGCCAAACGCCATAAAGTGTGTAAATAAAATTACCATAAACTGCACTGACAGATGCCGGTTCAACCCTAGATAGTGTTGTTGTAAAAACTGCTTTAAAACAAGCAGTTTTGAACTCTTTCATACACATTTTTTTGGATTAATGTAATACTATACTACGTAATATTTTGTAAATAGTATCCGTGTCGACATTCCTTCTGGAAAAGTCTGAAGATGATGGAAGAATACATTATTAATATTTAAAGAGTTCAGGTGTAAACCTACCCATGTTTTGTTTAGCTTTTTTGGGGTGTGGAGGGGTGGGATTGTGTCAGGGGCTAGATGCTCCAGATAGAGAACTAGTCATTTCATCATGGTCCGCTCCTTAAACCCTTTAACTGCTTGGTCTACCAAATGGCTGATCATGTTTTTACCATTTTTAATAACAAGTGTTAAAGTAATTTAAAAAAATGTCTGTTTTAAATAATGGTTTACACTATACAACATTGCTGGTTTACAAAAAAACAAATCAAACAAACATAACCCTGTTGCTCTAGTACATTTAATTTTGGTTTTATTGTAAAAACAAACAAACAAGCAAATATGTGAAATGAGAATCTGAAATATTTTAAAGCATACTTAAAAAAAACAAAACAAAGATGTCTTGGTATTAAAAAATATTTTGTTTTGATTGTTTTTGAATAAATTGGTCTTAAACTTCATATTTTTTATAGTATATGTATTAATTCAGGTGCTTTTACAATAAACCAACACATGGGATGTGTTGAAAAAAATGCAGAGTGTGTTAACTAATGACAATAGGAGTTAAAAAATGCCATTACATTTTTTTTCGGGGCAGTTAAAGGGTTAAGCCCATTTTTATTACTTATTTCCAAAACAAGGGGCCCCCATAAATAGCGGAACGTTGCTTCCATAGTGCACATGCAAATATTAAAATCTAATCGCAAATGGCTATAACTGTACTTTTTTTACATTTAAAATATAAAGGTCCCACTTAAAATATATTTGTACAATGCACTTTATTTGCCAAATATAAAAAATAAATTCAAATTAAAAAAATAAATCCAGAATTTACAGAGAAAAAAAAATCTATAGAGAAAGAGAGTGCTTTGAGTTTAACTGCAAGGGCCCCATACCTGCAATTGCTTAGGGCCCCCAAAGCACTAAGTCCGCCTCTGCTCATAAATGTATTTTATAAGGCAACTGAGCTCGTGACATACATCTTTAGAACTATGGTCACAAGACAATTGTTACCAAACAAGACGCACTTATGATGCCAGGAATCGTTTTACAAATTATCACCCCTGAAGCCATTGTCTGAGATCACCCAGACTTGTATCTTAAAGACGCACGCTTTCATCCGGCGAAAATGAGCAATAACGCTGTAGTTGTTGTTGTTGTTGTTGTTCAAAATTAAACGCTTTTGAAGTAACTTACATTTTACTAATTATATCCATTAAATAGCATATTCATCGTTTAAAATTAGTGTTTTGTTTTGTGACAAGACACTTAATTGAGCTAAGATAAAGTGCTTAACTGACATTTGAGTATTATTTATATTAGCATCACGATAAAAAATCTAACACGCTCTCAGATGGTTCAGTAGATATTTAAACTCAGTTAAAATAAGTCAGTTAACCAAATTACATCACAACTAATCAGCATGTTTTAATTAGTTTGACTTATTGTGTATTTCTGTCAATAACTTGAAACTTACCCAATATTTCTTTTCTTCTCCACGTGTGCGGTTGTTCATTATACACCCATTCAAAGTCCCAGCGTCCTGCTGCTTTGCCCATTTTGACACCTGTGCGTTGCTGCTTGTAATGAGCTCAGGTGATTCCTCGCTTACTAGACTCGTTTCGGACACGCCCTCTTAGATAAGAGAGGGAGAAGGTGTGCCTGTCAGGTCAGTGCACTGCCAACGGTAACTAACTTCAACCGAAACCCTTGTGAACTAACGAGATCGGGTTAGTCAGCGAGCAGCCCAGCCTGTTGTACAGTCTACTTGACAACGCTTCAGAGTGGAATGATTGGCTACGTGACTTCAATGCGAGGACATAGTCGTAATATGCAGTGGATGTTTATATATATATATATATATATATATATATATATATATATATATATATATATATATATATATATATATATATATATATGTGTGTGTGTGTGTGTGTTTTATACTTTTGCAGTTGAATTTACTTAAGCAATGTCCAATTTCACAGTCCTGTAATTCTGGTCTAGACAGGTTTGCGTCACATCACCGCGCGGGGGCGTTCATGCTCTCTCTCTCTCTCTCTCTCTCTCTCTCTCTCTCTCTCTCTCTCTCTCTCTCTCTCTCTCTCTCTCACACACACAAACACACACACACAATTCAATAACTGCTTTATTGGCATGACAAGTTTTACAAATGTATTGCAAAAGCATTTATAAAGTTTACATTAAAATGATCACATATTAAAAAAACACAGCAAATAATAGTCTAGTATTATAATATGTAATATAATAATAATAATACAAGTAAATAAATAAACACACACACACACACACATTCAATGACAGACATACGTGTTGTACAATAATAATGTGGTTATTGTATGATTTAATGTATTTTAAGACATGATAAACAAAACTCACTGAGAAAAACAGATTTAAACATATGAAGAGTTTCGTTGCAAAACGAGATATATCCAGTTTGAGGAATGTTGGTTATTTGACATTATTATTTAAGACATCAACAGTCAAGTTCATTCACAATTTTTGTACATTAAACTATTACTTAAGCTCAGTGAAGGCCAGGAACACAATATTTTCAAATCCAGGATATTTTTTATTTAATTTTATGTCCATAAATAGCTCATAAATAAGTCAAAAACCATGCCAATATGCAACAAACATTGTCAAACATCTTAATTTGGTAAAAAAAAAAAAAAAAACAATACATCATAAATATATGGAATAATATATACAAAGTTTGAATAATAATAATACGATTCTGAGTTTTAGCCAGAACGTGCACAACGCAACATAACATAACTTTTTTTTTCCACCTTATCCACCTAAGGCTATATTCTACTACTGTAATACGTTTAAGAAAAGCTAGTGAATCAATGTTTTGTTTGATAAGTAAGATTAAGTTAGTTAGATAAACAACTTGTAGCTAGTTACAGAAAGAGTGGAGGGCGGCTCCTTCCACACCGTTGCTGAAAACCAAACCTGTATGATCAAAGCGGGCGGAACCGCGGTGTCACAGTTCTTGTCTCTGTTGTACCGAGTCTGTGACACAATCTCGCCTTGTCCCGTCATATTTAATAAATTATTTCACTGTAATAATCAGGGCTTGACATGAACTTTTTTGATCACCAGCCACTGTGGATAGTAGATTTGCAACATTACCAGTCACTCAGCAATTTCACTAGCCACAATTATGTTGTTGGGAAAATATATTTAATATGCATAAATCTGACTTTATCATGGTAAATTTACTTGATTTATATTTTGTTATGTCCACATATATGTCCATATATTTTTGTTATGTCCACATGTGCCCTCATTTATTTAACTTTATGTGTGTCGCATATGAGCTTGCTCAATCAGCATGAACAAATGGGTCATGGTTTCATAGTGTCAAATTACAATTAGCTTTTATTTCACATCACTTTTCAGGGCTCAAAATAAAGGATTTACCAAATGTATCTCTGACCACACCAAACATAAATAATAATAAGAATGTATTATGTAATGTGTGGATATGTATAGAATGTATCATGCAATGTGTGTATATGTATAGAATCTATCTTGTGTGTTTGTGTGTATAAAATTTATCATGTAATGTATTTATATGTATAGAATGTATCATGTAATGTGTGTATATGTATTAAATGTATCATTTGCCTATATGTATAGAATATATCATGTAAGGTGTGTCTATGTATAGAATATATGCATCACATCTTCAGTCCCCAGTAGCTCAGTGGGTAAGTCACTCACCTTTCAAGCCAGAGAACCGGGTTCTATCCCAAGCCTTGACATCAGTGTATAATACATGTGTGTATATGTAAAGAATGTTTCATGTGTGTATATGTATCATGTGTGTATATGTATAAAATGTATGTGTATATGTGTAAAATGTATCATAAAACATGTGTATATGTACAGTATGTATCATGTAATGTGTGTATATATATATATATAATATGTGTATGTACTGCATATATCATGTAATGTGTGTATGTATAAAATGTATCAAACATGTGTATATGTGCAGAATATATCATGTAATGTGTGTATAAAATGTAATATGTGTATATGTATAAAATGTATCATACATGTGTATATGTAGAGAATGTAAAATGTGTCATATATGTATAAAATGTATCATGTAATGTGTGTATATGTATCATGTAATGTGTGTGTGTGTATATGTAGAAAATATATCATTTGCCTATATGTATATAATGTATCATGTGTGTATATGCATATAATGCATCACATTATCAGTAGCTCAGTGGGTAAATCATTCACCTATCAAGCCAGAGAATCAGGTTTTTGTCATCAGTGTATCATACATGTGTGTAGATGCATAAAATGTATCATGCAATGTGTGTATATGTATAGAATGTATCATGTGTGTATATTTATAAAAGGTATAATTTGCCTATATGTAAAGAATGTGTGTATATGTATAGTATGTATCATCTGTGTATATGTATATAATACATCACATCATCAGTCCCTGGTAGCTCAGTGGGTATGTAATGTGTGTATATGTATCATGTGTATATATGTATAAAATGTATCATTTGCCTATGTGTATAGATTGTATCATGTAATTGTGTCTATGTATAGAATATATATGTATAAAATGTATCATGTAATGTGTATAAATTGTATCATGTAATGTGTGTATTTGTTTAGAATGTATCATGTAATGTGTGTATATCTATTAAATGTATCATTTGCCTATATGTATAGAATGTATCATGTAAGGTGTGTATATGTATAGAATGTATCATGTAATGTGTGTATATGTATAAAATGTATCATTTGCCTATATGTATAGATTGTATCATGTAACTGTGTATATGTATGGAATGCATAAATCTATCATGTATGTGTAATATGTTTATATGTCTAAAATGTAGCATGTTTGTATAAGCATAAAATACCATGTAATGTGTGTATATGTATAGAATGTATCATGTAATTTGTGTATATGTATCATGTGTGTATATGTATAAAATATATAATTTGCCTATATGTATAGATTGCATCATGTAATTGTGTATATGTATAGAATGTATAATGTAATGTGTGTATATATATATATAGAATGTGTAATGTGTGTATGTGTATAGAATGTATCATGTAATGTGTGTATATTTATAAAATGTGTCATTTGCCTATATGTATAGATTGTATCATGTAATTGTGTATATGTATAGAATATATCATGTGTGTATATGTATATAATGCATCACATCTTCAGTCCTCAGTAGCTCAGTGGGTAAGTCACTCACCTCTCAAGCCAGAGAACCGGGTTCTATCCCAAGCCTTGACATCAGTGTATCATACATGTGTGTATATGTATAGAATGTTTCATGTGTGTATATGTATCGTGTGTATATATATAAAATGTATCATGTAATATGTGTATATGTGTAAAATGTATCATGTAACATGTGTATATGTACGTAATGTATTAATATAAAATGTATTATCTGTATATGTACTGCATGTATCATGTAATGTGTGTGTATATGTAGAAAATATATTATTTGCCTATATGTATAGAATGTATCATGTAATGTGTGTATATATGTATATAATGTATCATGTGTGTATATGCATATAATGCATCACATCATCAGTCCCAAGTAGCTCAGTGGGTAAATCACTCACCTATCAAGCCAGAGATTCAGGTTCTGGGGTCCGTTCTTCGTACGTGGATTACTCAGTTAGCTGGATTTGGATATTGACGATTTGACATGATCCAGGATCGTTTCGTTCTTCAAAGCTGATCCGAGAGTTGTTGTCATAGCAACAGTTCTGCTAGGTCAAACCTGATCGGGAGCAGGTTCAATTCATATAAACAGGATTAGATCGGCTCAGTTCAAGCAAAGATAATACAAAAAGTATGTTCCGAATTCTGATATTTTCTTACAGTAGTAGTTATATACACTTGGGAAAATGGTACATATTTTTTAACTATATATATAAAGTTATAGTTATTAATAAAATAAATAAAGTTATACATATTAATAAAACTTATGCAATCTGCAACCTCGAAATGAAAGTACAAAGACTGTCGCCTGGTGGTGCAAAGAGAAAACCTATTTATATGAACTTTTTAGATCGCTTTATTACAAATTGTGTATAATAGAAATGCACAATATGTCACTTTTTTTAAAAGTAATAATACATTTATGCAGTCATAAACATGTTTTTATAGTTAATATGCCAGTGATTTGATGCTTCACAAAAGTTGCAGACGCCTTTACCAATATCAAAATGCTTATAAACAACCAGTTATTCTTTACACCGATTAAAAAAACGGCTACAATAATAAAGAAAATATTTTCTAAATGTAGAACTTAATACATTGATTTGCATTGAAATACATGATGAATACTCTTAACACATGAAAATGTAAAGCCTGCAGCTCACAACAAATGTGGAAGGTTATCGTTGCAACCGGGTTCTATCCCAGGCCTTGACACCAGTGTATCATACAAGTGTGTGTATATGTATAAAATGTATCATGTAATGTGTGTATATGTATTAAATGTATCATTTGCCTATATGTATAGAATGTATTATGTAATATGTGGATATGTATAGAATGTATCATGCAATGTGTGTATATGTATAGAATCTATCTTGTGTGTTTGTGTGTATAAAATTTATCATGTAATGTGTGTATATGTATAGAATGTATCATGTAATGTGTGTATATGTATTAAATGTATCATTTGCCTATATGTATAGAATATATCATGTAAGGTGTGTATATGT